TTGCATGAATTTTCATGCATCGGGCTTCTAGTCCTATCTAATAAAAGACAAAAGGGTAATTGATCATCCCTTTGCTACGCTTCCCATTGGCTAATCAGCGAGATATGCAAATTAACCACCAACAAAGATGGCAGCTGGCAGCCACGCAGCTGAAGCAAGCAGGAGGCTTGGTTGCTCCAGAGATCGAGGAAGCCAAGGTTCCCCGCCTGCTGCGGCCTGCTCTAAGCTCCAGAAGCAACAAAGTTTCAATTATAGAAGCTAAACAAACCCCAGATACCTGCTTTCTGCTGGCCGTAGCCATGGAGCCCGCTCTTAGCTCCTGTGACAGCAACAAAGTTTCAATTATAGAAGGTAAAAAAATCCCAGAATAAAAAAAGAAAAAGAAAAAAAGGAGAGGCTGGGAGCTTCAGTTGCAGGCCAGCCTGAAAATGGCCCTCAACCCCTCACCCAGACTGGCCAGGCACCCCGGTGGGGGCCCCCGCCCTGAAGAGGGTGTGACCAGCTGCAAACACTTATCAGCCCCTCACCCAGGCTGACCAGGCACCCCACCGGGACCCCCCACCCCGCTGGCAAGTGGACATCCCCTGAGGGTTGCTGGGCTGCCAGAAGGATGTCTGATTGCCAGCTTTGGCCCAATCCCCCAGGGAGCAGGCCTAAGCCAGCAGGTGGTCATCCCCCGAGGGGTCCCAGACCACGAGAGGGCACAGGCCGGGCTGAGGGATGCCCCCTCCCCCCGCCCCGAGTGCACAAATTTTTGTGCACTGGGCCTCTAGTATAATATATATGTGCTCTCTCACACCTCCATTTTTTCCCTATAGGATAGAGGGGGTTATTGCTTAGTAATATTTCATACAAGAAAATCTATATGTTGCAAACTCAAGATGAGCCATTATGTGATATAGTTACCCCAGACTGAATAAGCAGACCATGTCCTTAGTGAGCGAAATGATGATCTTCAGTGCTGCTGTGTACATTTAGTCTGTGTCTTGGGCAAGGACACTGAGAGATGATAAGGGAGTCTTAAAATTGTATGAAGAATTTTATAGGCACCCAGTTTGTTTAGCATAAAGAAAACAAAATTGGACTAGGAAATCATTCCACTTTTCTCTTCCATGTTTGAATGTCTGTCTTGGGAATATCTAGAGTAACCTAGTGGATGGAAGTTACAGGGACAGAGTTCCTCTAAGTGTAGGAAAACAAAAGAGAAGATTTGACGATGGGATAAGCTGCTATATATGGGAAAATGCAACCTTCGGTCAGGGTTGTGGGTAGACACTGGGTGGATAGTAGGATGTGGGTTAGGCTGTGTGTGTGTGTGTGTGTGTGTGTGTCTGTGTGTTTTCCTCCAACTTTAGAAGTATATTTTAGTGAATTAGCAAAAATAAATTTAGTAAAATATTTAGTCAAAACTGAACCTTCCCCCTTTTTTTATATCAGACTTAGATATAATTGCCATAAAATGTAGTCCTGTCTCAAACAAAATTTCGCTTTTGTGGTGATTACACAAGGTAATATAATTGCCAAAATTACTTATTTCCAATTGCTTCTTCACACTTCATTCAGAGTAATCATTACCAAATGCTAGTCTCTTCATACCACCTCCCTGCTTAAGACACAGTCACTCTGCATTCATTGGAGGATAAGGGTACCCATTCTTAACATGGCCCACAACGTTCAGCAAGGTCTACTGCCACCTGCTTCTCCAGTTTTATATTGTTTCGCCCTCCATTTCCAGTTCAACCATGTTGGCCTTCTAGTAATTTCTCAAGTGCACACCGTGCTCCCATTTGCCACACATCAGTTGTCATGCTGTTATTTTTCTGCATGGATGGCCTTCTTATTCCTAGATGACGCCTGCTGTCACCCTCCAGGCCTCGGTTCATTTTTAACTGAAACACGGAAGTGTTTCTACCCTTCCTGCCGAGATCTCATGTCCTGTCACACATGCTCATACTCTGTATTTCTCATTCACAGCTTTGACCACTGTTACAATTTACATTTGATTATGTAACTATGTGATTCAGTATCTGCTTTTCCTGCTAAAATATAAGCATCCAAAGGCAAAAGGCATTTTCTGTTTGTAGTTCACTGTTGAACCCCTGGTGCCTTGCAATATGTGCAAATCACACTAATATGTGTTGAGTGAGTAGTGTAAGCGGAACATTTCCTATAAAGTACTGAAGAGAACATTTAGAGAAAGAATGGGATATGGAGACCCTAAGGCGATACATTCATTTTATATAGTGCTTGCATTTTTAAAGACTTTTTTCACAAAAGTCCTAAGAGCTAAGTATATTACATTATATTAACTGTAAAGGTAAAGAAATTTTATCTTTTTCAACTTTACAGATTAGGGTAGTTAACCAGATCGAGACTCATAGTTATTAAGTGGCAGATTTAAGATAAGAAACCAGGAGTTTGAGATTTTTAGGAAAATAACCAGCCACTTGATATACCCAGGTGTTATATTCATCACTTGCTTCAAATGGCATAGTGTCTTACAATTTTTTTTTATAGGACTGTCTTAGTTTGGGCTGCTATGATAAAATACCATAGACTGAGTAGCTTACACAACAAACATTAATTTTTCACGGTTCTGGAGGCTGGGGAGTTCAAGATCAAGGTACCAGCAGAGTCACTGTCGGGTGAGGGATCTCTTCTTGGCTTGCTGTGTCTTTCCATGGAGAAGAGTGAGGAGAGCTCTGGTCTCTTTCTCCTCTTTAAGGTCACTAATCATAACCTGGGTTCTACCTTCATCATCTTATCTAATCCTCACTACCTCCCAAAGGCTCTACCTCCAAATGCCATCGCATTAGGTTTCCACATGTGAATTTTGACACACAAACATTCCATCTATAGCAAAAACTAAGCTATGTTTTATTAATATCTATCTAAATCATACTTATAGTTTTAAAAATTACATACGGTATTCTCCATTATATTTTAGAAGCCTTGACAGGTAGGATTTTAAATGTGAAACTAACACTGCCATCTAGTGACAACTAACCTGAATGAAATTTGAAAACTAGACTAGCTGGTTAAGGTCCCAAGGAATGGTGAAGCAAGTTATTCCCAGGAGTGGGAAGGACACATAAGTTAGGCAGTCATTTCTTTTCAGAAACCATTTGAGACAGTTTATTCTTAAGGAGTCATGAATGAATAATAAACAAAGCAGATGCCCTGGTTTGTAGAATGTTACCCAGGTAGTAAGCTGGCGATGGTGCCACTTGACTTTGATTTGTCTCCATTTTTCTCACTTTCGCCACAGCTTCTGAATGAGGGAATTTGTACTCTGATAACCTAACAGAGTGTTTTCATCTTAGTTTAAAGAGCTAAGCACATTCAAGAACAAACAGATGAGGAAATGAGTCCTGGGTAAAATTTCTGGTTAGATCTTGCAGCATCTAAAGGAAGAAGGGAATGCCAAAATAAACTCCATCTATCCCAAGGGGACACTTAGAGCCACTTTGAATTAAGTTGCTGAGTGATTTAATGTAAACAACATAATAAAACACTCCAGACACACAAAAATAGTTAGAAAATGAAGTATAAGAATTTTCTTTAACGCATTGAACCACAGAGGAAATTTGGATAACTTATTTGTATCTCTTAAGTCCTAAATTTAATATGGTAGATTTTTAACTGATATATTTTAAATGAATTATTGTCCTGCTAAATTAATATTGCCGGCAAAAATGGTTATCTAAAATCCTTTGAGCTAAAAAATTTTTACGTACAGAAGCCAGGTCAAAAGAGATAAAAATTATTCTATTTCTCTGGAGGCCTAAATAACAAAAACCCATCAATTTCAAAGGATAATGATATTTCTGATTGAGGTGAGAAAATTATATTTAACATTTTTTAAGATAGTCTGTAGAGGATTATTCTATTTGTCCAGTTACTGGTACATGTAATGAGCAGTCTCCCTAAGGTGTCCTGACTTATGGTATAGAAATAGCCTAACTGGAAATATTAAATTTTTTATATAAGTCAATGAAAATTATTGCTTTTCTGACACTACTTATTACCTGGTTTCCCCTTCAGGAATAATATTTCATATACTGACAATAAAGAATGTGTAACAGACTTGCTATTTTGCCAAGAGTTAAGTTGGAAATCTCAGGGCATGAACCATTTTAACATAAGAAAAGCATCTGAGTTGCACTTACTTCTTAGCCAATATCCTTAAAATAGCAATTTTATGCTTATTTCTGGACAAGTGTACAGATATGACCTCGTCTCTTGTTTTCAAGTGGTAAACTATTCATATGAAGAATGTGGGTAGTACCAGACAATAGCAGATGACAATCTAGCAAGAATTGGATTAAAATTAGTTGCCAAAAAGTATTGCATCAATACCGAAGGGGGGACAATTTTTTTTTAAAGTGTGTTGTGTAATGTGGTTTTGATTAGCTTTGCATGAGACACAGCTGCTCTGGGACCTCTCCTAATTTTGTGTCAGGGTCAAACTCTAGAGTTGTGCTGACGATGAAACCTGAAAGATGGGTAGTTAGTAAGGTGAAGAGCTTACAGGCAGGTGGTGGTGTGGAAGGGGGCTGTGTGGAGGCTCAAAATGTTCTAGAGAGAGAATGTCAACTGCAATTAAAAAACAACACCTTAAATATATAGAGAAAACATAAACACAAAGCTTTGTTTGATGTTGTCGGTATCTTATCGACGAACAAAGGATTCAACACTGTGGCAGTGTGGAAGTGAAGAATAGACGGCATGGTGGGGCGGAACAAGAAATTGACCTTGTGCTGGAAAATGTACTCAGGCCAGAATAACAGTAGTAGAAATGAGAGGTCTAACTTTTATGGCAGTGCAGAGCAGAAAGAAACCAGTTTCTCTTGGGGTTTTGGTGAGGGAAAAGTGGGAGGTTATTCAACACTTGGCATTTACCACAATCCTTAAAGGGAGCAGGGGGAGGCCTGCAGCCTGCTTTCAGTTTACCTGTGTCTTTGGCTGTGTTTTGACCCTGGCTTTCTTTGTTCAGCTAGGATTGTGTCTAAGCAGAGCCTCCGCATCTGTTCTAAACCTCAACTGCAGCCTCATCCTGTTACCCATGTGCCGGACACTCCTTGCTTACCTTCGAGGATCCCAGAAGGTAAGACACATAGAATTCTAGTCACGGATCGCAGCATACCGATCCAGTGCAACAGCAGCAGGTTAGTCCTGCTTAGTTCTTATGGTCTGATTTTCTGCTAGAGCGATTGCCTCAAACATGACAGGGAAGACCATGTCACCTGCCCAAGATGATTCCAGAAAACACCACTAAAGACAGAGGGTCATAGACTATGCTAAGCACTTCATATATAGAGCCGTGAAGCCTCACCATGATTCTGTAATCAGATATTGCAGATGCAGAAGCTGAGGCATAGAGGGTTTAAGTAACTTGAAGATCATGAGACTAATGAAAGGCAGAGCTAAGGTCAGTCCTACTTCTGAGCTCTTTCCACAGTACTCTGCCTCACCGCGATCCTGTTTTTTATTTCGTTCAGTCCCTGCGAACACACTCAAGCCCTGTGGTTATGAGCAATGCATAGAGTGAGTGTTAGTGTTGGTGGCAATTTATCTCTTAAAACACGTACCTGTTTTGAGCCACGTAATAGGCTTAGAAAACGTCTTGGTTAAGTAGTGGTGTCATGTGTGGATATTTAGTGTTATAAAAATGAAGGATTTGAGAGAACAGAAAAGCACTTTGAAATTCTTTTGTCAAGTATCTGTGTGTGTGTGTGTGTGTGTGTGTGTGTGTGTGTGTGTGTGGTGTATGCTGTGCTGTGGTTATTTCTTCTCTAAGATGGTAAGGCACCACTGGATAGATACTGATATTTTAAAAGGAGTTGTTAATGTGAGGTCACTTTGCTGTCCTGTGCACTTTATATGACTGGATTTACTACAGTAAAAATTCCCAACCTTTTCATGTGATTACATTTGGAAACTCTGCTTTTAATGTGGCAATTTGTGGAAATAGCTCTTGGTTGCCCAATTGTAAAATGCTAGGTTGTGATCTCTGTGGCTGGCCGTTGGCTTGGCATGAAGAAAGAGAAGATAAATGGTAGGAGAAGACAAGTGCCCACCTAAGTCCTTCAGTATTTAATGTCTTAAAGAATTGTCCCTGAGTGTGCAACATAGTTATTCAAAGATGCTTGACATTTTATTTTTCTTAAGATCAAACAGGCATTTAAAACCATAAATGGAATTGCTTTATTTTAAAAAATAACCTTTCTTTATTTTTACTGCAAAAGGAAATCATATATATATAGTGAAATTCAAAAATTCCAGAAATATCTGAAGTAATCAGTGAAGGTTTCTCCTAGCATTTCTCTGTCAGGACAACTGCTGATTATAATTTGGGGTAAATACCTACGGATATGTTAACATAGAATGCTACTAATTTTAAACAATATAAGATTTTCTGTTTTATAACTCTTACCTAACAATAAATCTTGCACATTTCTTCATATCAATACTAAGTCTTCTCACATTCTATTTAATAGTTTGAGTGTTCCCTTGATTAGACATATCATAATTTGTCTCACTGCTTTTTAACTTGATAGGCCTCTGTCATGTTTCTAAAACACTGATCTTGTAAAAATGCTGCAGTGAAAAGCTTTGTACACATACGTTATTCACTGCATCATTTTTACAATAGTAAATGGCTGTCATGTAGGTTCCAAGCAGGAGAACCAGAAGATTGTTGGATAAAAGCAGGACATTCCATATCATCTGCGGTGTTACCATCTGTATTTTCTCAGGTGAGAAAACCAAAAGCTGTTTAATATTATGTTATAATCATATGTTATAAATGTTATTTTTATTATTCTATAAATTATTTACTGTCACAAACTCATGATTTTCTTATACAGCTTAATTTTCTCTTCCATGTTTTTAAAGAGGGTTGTCTATTGGTGCTACAGAAAATACGTGTGTCTTATGCTAAGTTTGACCTTCAAGCTGGTAATGATTGTTTCCTAGAGGTAAATAATTTAATTTAAAAAGATTGAAAGGAGCAAACTCAAAGTTTTTAAGCTCTGAAAGTAATGATATGATAGGAGTGTAAATGCATCAAAATTGGATTGCAAAATGTACATTCATTGAATACGATACCAGCCAAAATTATAGTTGATAAATATTTCTTTGAAAATTATACTTGCTTAGAGGAGCATATTTCAAAAGTTTGTAGAAATTCATCCTGCTCAATTCCAAGTTAAAATATAAAGTGAGAATCTTTTGATTTTTAAGAATAATTTTAAAATAAATTTTTATCCTGAGTATTTCTATAATACTTTAAAGTATTTTGGAGCAGAAAGTAATAAATATATGATTTAGTGCATAGACTCTGGAGATGGATTATGTAGGTTTTATCCCCAGCTGCCCTTCTGCCTGGAGAACATGCGTATATGAAGTTCTTAGGGTAGAATTTATTATAATAGTTTACAGTCTGAGGGATTAATTATCTCAGTGGCATAGCTCCTTACATTTTCATCTGGTTGTTATTTGTAGAATAGAGCTATTTTGGTGCTAGGGACCTTTGGTCTGGATAGTTATGTAAGGCCATTTTGAACCAGGAGTCTTTGGATACAGCTATTACCAAGATATATTAAACTTTAAGCTTTTTAATTATTACCAAGCATTTCTTTACTTTCTCACTCCTGAACATCTATCTTTCCATTGGTAGTTGCCCGCTTTGGTGGTGAGAGATGGAGAGAGGCTTAGGGGTGGGATTAGAACTCTGGTGCAGCCAAGTCTGGGGATGGAGTACGCATCAGGAAGAGATGAGGGCCGAGGGTGTGATAAGTGTTAGGGATGGATTAGAGCTAGGGAAGGGGATCATGAAACACTGGCACATTCGTAGCTTCATTTAGTCTTTGGTTCAGTTGCAGAATAACCACAACTGAGTTGGTGTAGGGTATTGCCATGAATGAGCATGTTTTCCAGGGGGTCTACATTCTGCCCCTGGCTAGTGGTCTGACCTTAGCTAAATTACCTTTCTAACCTTTGTTTTCTTATCTGTAAAACAGGGATGATTCTACTTACCTCACTGTTTTATTGTTAAAATTACATGGAAAATCTATACAAAGTGCCTGGCATAGCTTTCTCCCTGATGACTAAAATCAGAAGTTCTGAATTCTTTTGACCTAAAAGGCCTAATAAAGAAGGTGAATGTATCTCATACAGCTACCACCTAGAACACCTAGAACGCGTGTCAGAGGTGACACGTGAACTCATTTTTTTTGGTTGATTTTTCTTTGTTAAATGGCATTTAAATATATAAAAGAAATATCAAAAATATAAATCTTTGTTGTACTATGGTTGCAAATATCAAAAAATTTCTATATGTGACACGACACCAGAGTTAAGTTAGGGTTTTTCAAAATGCTGACACGCTGAGCTCAAAAGGTTTGCCATCACTGACCTAGAACTTTTACTCAGGAGAATTCAGAAAGAATGGCTATTCCTCAAAGGAAACCTTTATGCTTTTGACAATTAAGTATGTAGTTAACATATAAATCCTTAATTTTAAATAAAGGGAATTTTTTTTTTACTATTAATTTCTGAAGTGGTGAAGCTGTAGGAGATAGTTTTGCTTAAATAATGTTTTATACCTTTGCCAAAGTTGAGTCTCACTTAAATGTTCTTTGTTTTATTTCTTTGAAACCTTGCCTTTGCTTATTAATTAATCCACTTCTAGTTCCCTGGTCATTTTTATTGTTGTTGTTGTTGTTAATCCTCCCTCGAGGATATTTTTCCATTGATTCTCAGAGAGAGTGGAAGGGAGGGGGAAAGACATACAAAGAGAAACATCAATATGAGAGAGATGCATCAATTGGTTGCCTCCCACATGTGCCCCGACTGGGCTGGGGATCGAGCCTGAAACCTAGGCATGTGCCGTGACTGGAATTGAACCTGGGACCCTTCAGTCCACAGGGGAACACTTTATCCACTGAGCTAGGGCCAAACTGGCTAGGGCCCTGGTAAACTTTTTATGAGACCCTCTTCTCTTCTCTAACTTGATCACTGGCAGGAGCTTATAAATCCTTTAAGTAATTTTTAGGTTATTTAGTATTCTAGTCCTCTCTCATTTTGATTGACTTTGTGAGTAACTCAGAGCTCTTGGCCTATCTATATCTCAAACGTTAGGTTTGAGGGAATTGTAGAGTTTTGTACTTTGTAGGGCATGTCTTATTTTGAATCACCGCCTCCATGTATTTGTGTAAACTATAATGGTTTACTAAGCAATTTTGAGTCACTTATTAAGTCTCTTATTTCTGTCATTTCTTAAAACATTCCTCCTCCAAGGTTATGTTTTTATTAATTTTTAGAGAGAGAAGAAGGGAGAGAGAGAGAGAGAAACATTGATGTGAGAAACATAGATTAGTTGCCTCCCGTTACGCCCCCAGCACAGGGTCAAACCCACAACCTAGGTAGGTGCCTGCTTGAGATTCAAACCTGCAACCTTCTGGTTTACAGGATGACATTCCAACCGACTGAGCCACCAGCCAGAGCAATAATTCTGCCATTTTATAGAGAATTAATTTGAGGTGCTAGTATGCCAATACAATAGCCAGGAAGACAGGTTCCCAACTAAATAGCTGTTGTTCTTTATGATGTACTGTTAATTAAAGGCACATTTCACCTATAAGAAAAGGTTAGAAAGGGAGGAGGGCATTAGACTCGTCCAATACACAAGTCATTTACTCCTTCCTTGTCCAACCTCCTCAATATAATTTTCTTTTTTCCCTGGCATGCCAAAATGAATTTGTTTTCACCTGAATTTCCTAACACTTTTATATTTTGTATGAACTCCAAGTCAGTTGAGCACTCTGTTTATTGTGCCATTGCAGACTGATTATTAAATGGCAGTACTCTACTATCTCAGTCTTGTGGTTGTACTCCAACTGAGGGGAAGGGAAAGGGAGAGAAAGACAGAAACATCAATGATGGGAGATAATCATTGATCGGCTGCCTCCTGCACTGTGGGATACTCCACACTGGGGATCCAGCCCGCAACCAGAGCACGTGCCCTGACTGGGAATCCAACTGTGACCTCCTGGTTCATAGATTGACACTCAACCACTGAGCCACGCTGGCTGGGCATTACCAAACACTTTTGCTATTGGGTTTAGGACATTATGTTTTGGATTTGTAGATTGTGAAAAATGTTCACTGATTAAAAGCCTTTCAATGAACCTATATTTTAGGTTATGTGGCAGTGAAGTGTACAAGATCTATAACAGGTTTGGAGTTAGGGGAGATGTGAAAGGTGTGAAACATCTAAAACATCCAGGAGCTGTTTAAAATCAATTAGTAAATGTCCATATTATTATATTACTTGCCTGTGTAAATGTGTGTGCATGTCATTGCAGTGGAGACTGTCCACAGTGCCATTCCAAGAACCTTGACTTAACGAAGGCTCTTTTATTCTAGCCTTTGGAAACTCAGTTTCTTTACTTGATTTTTAATACTGAAACGGTCTATAATTCAGATTGCTTGTGTCTTTAAAACTCCCCTTTTAAATTTAAAATTGTATTGCTCATGAAGCTGTCAAAGTTTGACACTTAGAGGGAAGAACCGACTCCTCTTCATTGACCTGAAGATCAGTCCCCCTGACTTGTGCCTGTTGCGATTCCGTAGGTGTGCATGTGGCTGCCCACCTGGTGAACGTCCTCAGCTTCTCAGAGAACTACCGTGAGGACTTCCTTGAACTGAATGTAGCAAGATATCGAGATGAGGTGGGTGGTGTCTGTCTCCTCATTTTTCTTCCACTCGTCATGGTCATGAGATGACTAATGAGGGTATGCCAGTTTCACAGAAAATGTGTACCTTGCTGCTTCTTTTGAGTGCTCTTAAATGCAGTTGTCAACTTGAGTTTTATCCCTTTTCCGTTGGAAATAGAGGAAATCACTATTTCACAGTCTCTTCTGCTGGAAATGGGAATTGGGAGTGTCTGCTTTCTCTGATGTGCAGTGTTCAGATGGTTGCCACCCAAGCCTGCCTGCTGCCTCCCAACAGCTTTTGTCTAATTCCTGTCATGCAGTGGAGACTGTCCACAGTGCCATTCCAGGGTAACAATCCTTCACTCAGGAACCATGCTTGGGGGAAACAGGGCAGAAAAGCAGGTGGATCATTTGAGGGTCCTGGATAATCAGGACATTATTGAGTTTTAATGATCCAGTCATTTGTTTTGTTTTTTAATCCTTGAAACAGGTGACCTTGAGCTGAATTCTGTAGCAGGCAATGCCTGTCTGAGGGGTGCCTTTCTCCACGTGCAGCTGCCCGTGAAATGAAATCATGTGTGGGAGGGGCCAGGCCAGAGCCTGATGAGCAGCATATGCACAGCCCTGGTGGGATCCTGTTGCTCAGTACTTTCTGTCCTCCGGCAGCCCTTGCTTCACGCCAAGACGGCATTAAAACCCCACTGCTCTATTTTCCATTTGATCAGAACCCTGCCTGTTCTGCTAAGGCTGGTAGTGACTTAATGAGCTATTCCCCATCTCCTCTCACTCTCTCACGCTGTTTACTCTACCACATATCACCAGTTTTAGCTAGATTAATACCGCTCATATGTTTGACCTCCCTCCCAAAATGAAACAAAACAAAATAACAACAAACATAGAAACAAATCTCAAAACCCAAATCGCAAGCAGCCTTTGATAAATCCTTTGACTATAATAGTGTTTTTGAAGCCACCAGTATGACTTAATTGATCTGGTTTGGGGTCAGGCATTGTTATTTTTTCAAAATGTATTTTTTTTATTGATTTTCAGAGAGGAAGAGAGAGGGAGCGAGAGATGGAAACATTAATGATGAGTGACAATCATTGATTGGCTGCCTCCAACATGCCCCCGACTGGGGATCGAGCCTGGGCATGTGCCTTGATCTCCTGGTTCATAGATTGATGGTCAACCACTGAGACACACCGGGTGGGCCGGCATTGTTATTTTTAAAGAGCTCACTGAGTGATTGTAGTGTGCACCCAGCAGTAAAAACCACTGAGAAGTCCAACTTTGTAGCAGGACAATGGAAGCTCTTTCATGTAATGATTTCAGATCAGAGCCATCGCTTCCCCATTTACCACTGCATCCATCCATCCTTCTATCCTCTGCAGTTTCCTTTTTTAACATTGCCTTCTTTGCTTCTCTCTTTTGTTTTTATAATTCATATGTCTTTAATAACTATACTGCTTATATTACTTTAAAAATGTAATATAATTTTGTTTAATATTTCAACACTTGTAGTCATTAAATTTATTTTTTATTATAAAAGGGAACTATGCTCAGTGTAAAATAGTTTAAAACTATCAAGTGTATGAAAAATAAAAGCTTCTCCTCCTAAAATAGCCATAGTTAATTATTTTATGTTTTCTCTTAAGATATTTTAAGTGGTATTTTATGATCCAGATTTCTCAGCAATTGACTTGTTTCCATAAATATATGTAATGTGACTTGCTATATCAGAAATATATCTTATTCCCTTCTTATTAACAGGCTATTATATCTTTTTAGCCTTTTCCTTATTCACAGATGTTTAGGTCGATTTCTAGTTTTTCTTATGACCCTCCACTTGCCAATAAATTATTTTTTTTGGCACATTACCGCTAGGCATTTTCATAGAAGTAGCATTTGGTTTCAAAGGCATACTCATTTTTAATTTTTAATGTACATTGCCAAATTTCCTTTCAAAAAGGCTTCACCAGTTGACACACTTCTACCAAGTTTATCAGAATGCTTATTTCTACACCTCACTTAAAAAAAACAAAAACATTTTGCCAAACTGATGGATGAAAAAAGGTAACTAATTTTTTAAATTTGTATTTCTCCTTTCTTTAGTTCTTTCCTTCCATTGTCCCTTTTTATCTCCCTTTCCTCTTTTTTTAAAATAAATATATTTGAGCACCTTGTAGATAAAGGCAATGTGTGCTAGATAAAGATGAAAAATACACACACATCCATTGTATGCATAAACAGATATATTCTTCCATGAATTGTCTTTGAAAAGGATGGGGTTGTGCCCTTCACTGTATTGTTCTTGCTTTGTGTTTCCACTCTGCCTCCTCCAGGTCTTCAGTGACCCATCCTTGAACTTGTGATGGTTGCAAATTCTTGGCCTAGTTGAATCCGCCTCATTTTGTCATCTGTGAAACCATCTCTTACTCTCACATTCCATCTTTCTTCTGTGGCCATATTAATTGTTCCATCTTCTGAGTTTCCATAACTATTTATTCCACTTCATTCAGTTCATCTTCTATTTTTAGCAGTTGTTTATATATTTGGTTGCTCTATATTACTCTTTAGCCAGGTGTAGAAGTCAATTGACCTAAACCGGATGAGGAGCTATTCCTAAGCCAGTGGTCCTTACTCAGTGCCCCTGAAATTGTATCAGACAAAGGCTTCCTACTTTGTATATACCTGGCCTGATCCCAGACTCACTGGAGACTTAGGACAGAATTTCACAAGTTGAGCAGTATCAAGCACCATTAGGCTGAAAAAAATAAATCCATAAATTTACTGGGGATTAATCTAAGTTTCCCAGAAGATAGAAAAGCAGGTGACTAAGGTTCATTACACCATGAGATAAGTAGTTTAAATAAAACACAATATTAATGTTTTACATTTCTGAGTAACGGGACCCTTTTTATCCTCACTACTTTTCACAATATTTGAAACATAAATTCTCAATTAGTAGTCTTTGCACTGAATTTACAGTGTACAACCCTTCCTGGATGTTTTATCACTTTTGATTTCCACTGTCTTGACACATTGTTGGTGCAGTTTGGTAATCCTGGTATTAATGTTTCCACATTAGAGCCAAAAATATTGGGTTTCAATTTGGTCAAAGAGTGGACTTCAGACCACAGCCCCTGGCTTTTAATTAGCTATCAAGATGAAAGCTTAAGCCCTCTCATTCCTCATCCTCTCATTTTTCAGATGGATAGACTTCTCTGAGTTGAATTTGTACTTGTTATAATCTCCTTTAGCATCATGAAACCATTACAAAATTCGAGTCTTACTTCCATTGGGAGAATAGTATTCTAAATGGTTAAATCATGGATCTTTATACCCATCCTAATTCCTTGTAGAATTTGATATTACCAATGTTTTATCTTTCAGTCAAATATTTTTTCCCCCCTTTTTCTCAGGATCCTAGAAAACTTCTCTTCACAAGTGGTAAGTTGTTATTCATTGCTCTTTCTTAAGATTTAGGAAAATTTTTGAAAATAAGCATCATCAAATTGTATGGCAGTTAGATGTATGTTAAAATATAACACATAGACGTTTGCATATCAGAACAAATAGTAGGAGGAGTTCAAGCATAAAGTTGCAATGACAACAGAGGGACAAGGCGAACAGTTGTGGTTAGAATGAAGAGAAAAAGTAAGCAAATGCATTTATTTTCCATATGTTCTCCCAATGAAAGCAATATAATGCCATATGCTTATTGAGGACCTGTTTTGTGCACACTGCTGTGGCAAGTACTGTTGGAGATGATATATGTGGAATATATTCCTGGCCTCAAGATGCTGGAAAGGAACACCAAACACTCTGGGTATCATTGTAGCTTTGATAATTCAGTAATTTAGTAGGATATTTTATAATTTTCAAATCCATAAAACAGGAGAAACAGTCATTAAAATCAGTTATTTTTCTTATAATGTGTCCCCTTTTTATTTGTAATTTACTTTTTCTTCTCAAGCATATTGTCCATGAAATCTCAGTCTAGACTGTTAATTTGTTATTCAAAGCACATATGAATATCCAAAAATTTTGCTCTGATGTTAGTAAAATTCATACCAAAATTTTACTCTTTTCAACTTTACATTTATACCGATGAAAGGAGAAAACTGTATTTGGGAGGATTTTTAGCACCTATTTCAGAGATTAGGACTTGTGGGTAGTTGAGATGGTGTATCATAAAGGTTTGGCTGTAACATCCTACTAAGAATCAGAGTTGTGTATGGAACTGAGGCATGGCCCTGTCAAATGCATTGTTTTTCTTTTCAATAATTTTATGGTGAAAAAGAACAATAAATCAGTTGATTTCCCCATCCATGTCACAATTATATGGATGTTTAGATTTATAAAACACTAGAGGCCCAGTGCAGGAATTCGTGCATGGGTGAGGTCTGGCCCGCCTGCCCCCATGGGAGCCCATCAGGCTGGCAGGGGGTGAGGGTTGCGGGCAGTTGGTGGCTGGTCCTGCTTCCAGTCGTGGAGTTGGGGGCTGATTGGGGGCCGGGCCAGCTGGGGGTGGGTGGGCGATCAGGGCCCAGATCAGGCTGGTTGGCTGCTGCAATGCATGTCATAGCCACCGGTTGTTCCAGTCGTTCTGGTCATTTCACCATTCCAGTCGCTGGTCTTGTGTATATATATAGATATTTTGTCTCTGGCTTATGATATTTGCCCCTTACAAAGTATTTCACCTTTTTCTTTTAGGAATGCAGTTTAGTTTTGTTTACAATTTTGTTCATTGAAACATGGTTCTTTATTTAAGTCCTAAGAATTGTATGAGAAATGGAGGGAAGAAAAAGCAGAAAAATAAAACCTTATGTATAAATCAATGTAGTTTTTGGTTCATATGGAATAATGTAAGAGAAATAAATAAAAACTTTGTTTTGATATTGTTTTCTACAGCACACAGCATAGTTGAAGCCTTGGCACATTTGAAATGTTTTTAAATGTTTAGTTTACAAAGATATAAAAAATGTTTTTATATGATAAAAATGTTACATTAAGACAGTATAGTTAATATCTATAAAAAAAGGCAAGTGACCATAATGCTGAAACATCAGAAAGACCAAATGACCGGTCACCAGGAGGTGCATAGAGCACTTCTTGGTCCCTCCCCTGGCACGAGAGTGCTTGAGGTGGGGAGGGGGGGCTCGCAGCTCACGTGGCAAGGTCGGGCTCGTGGCTTGCGTGGTGAGGTGGGGCTCACAGCTCGCATGGCGCAGTGGCTTGCAGTGGTGAGCTACTCGCACATGGCAGGTCTGGGGTCCCGCCAAAGCGGCGGCTCTGGGTCTTGTGCGATTTCACACACTGAGCCTCTAGTGGAGCGGTGGGCAAACTACGGCCCGCGGGCTGGATCCGGCCCGTTTGAAATGAATAAAACTAAAATAGTAAAACAAAGACATATTTTTGATATTTATTTTATATATTTAAATGCCATTTAACAAAGAAAAATCAACCAAAAAAATGAGTTCGCCTGTCACCTCTGACACACGTGTCATAGGTTCGCCATCACTGGTCTATATAAACAGGTGATCTTTCCACCTATGCATGAAACCCCATCACCTCTGCTCTTTCCCAGAGATTTTCATGACTGATGTTGGATTAAATAGAGACGATACTTAAAAACACAAATTTCCTGGCTCTATCCTAGAGAGTCTGTCAGGCTGGGATCTGGCGATGTGCTTTATTAATCTTCCTATTGACCTTGGGAGCTTCTGTTTTACCCTTATGGAGCATCTCGACAGACCTCTGAAGCATAACTTCTCACTGTCGCCTATATTCGCCTACTCTCTTAGCTTACTGCCTTTTTATTACCTGGTCAACCTCTACTCAACCTTTAAGTCTCAGCTGCCTTGCACAAATTCCTCCTGCATTCCACTAGGCAGAGCTGGTCTCTTCTTGATCTGTGTTTCTAAAGATACATAGTAAAAATACTATGTTGTCAAATAATTTATTTCCTTACGTATGACTGTCTTTTCCACTTGAACATGAACTTTTCCAGGGTGGGACAGTGCTGTGCCAAGGGCATGCAAGGACCCAGGCAAATATTTTTTGTGGAGTTTCTGTTAGTGCAAACCACATGCATCACCCAAAATCAGCATGTTAGCATCATTTGGTGTCTCAGTCCACATCATTTAATGAAAGCAAGCCATCCACTTCCCAGGGGGTCAGCTTGGAAAGAGGGGTGGGACCCCTCTAAGCATGTGGCTAGAACTCCTTTGGCATCTGAATGGCCCCACTGAATAGTGGCAGGAGAGAGAACAAGGCAGAATCTAAGAATAGTAATGGGATAAGTTACATTGCTTTCTACAAATAGGCTTAATCTAGTTTTGTTTTACTAATACCTCTCTGTTGAAAACTGTTTTATAGCTATCTTTGAATTTTGTCAGGCATAGCGCCTAGGAAATATTTAGTTCCTGACGAAGAACTGCATACATGCATTCAGCTGTTCTAGTGATAAAGAATATTTTTGTATTGATTGACATGTTTCTTGGATTTTAATTTGTTTATTGTTACATAGTCTTTTCTCTCTCTGTCTTTAAAAATTTTCAGTGTAACCTAGGTCTGAGAAATTAAGATTATCTTATAGAAAATAAAGGCAGTGAAAGTGACACAAAATATGGTATAGTTAGACTCACTAAATTAAAAAATGTTTAAAATATTGCAATTAAGAAGTTAAGAAATAAAATAAATTTAAAAGATTGGATTACTCATTCACTCAAAAATACTTACTACCTATCATCAAATTTGGTAAATGCACAATATCCAATTTCTATTAGAAAAACCCTCATAAACATACAATTTTGGTTCCAGTTATGGTTCTGGTTGGAAAAAATAGGACATTAAATACAAGATAGTATATTTCTGACCATATCTATGTATGAATGAAAATGATCTCTTAGTTTCTTCTAGAAATGGCAGTACAGTGAAATAATTCATTTAAAGGCTATGAATTAGTGGATCTTATATGCATACATGAAAAGCACTAAAAATAAAATTCATGCATGTCTTTTTCTAAGGAGACAAGTATAGGTTTTGCTTCATAACTTGAAGGACTCAAAGAGTTCACACTGTACTTCACTTTGGCAAGTAACTTTGCCCAGTGAAGTTAGACTAACCCAATAATTTCCAACCTGTGCTTCCTGACTCTTGGACTATGTGTAGGAATAGAGGCTAATATTCTCAGATTTAGTTAAACTGTCATTTCAGGCTAGGTTACGGTAACCTTTGATGTACCTCAAAAACACATAAAGCTTAGCTCTTTTAGCACATAATGCCCTACTTGCAATTACCTGTGTGTCTCATCTCCCAGATTAGAATGAAATCTCTTGTAGAGCAGGATTCATTTTTTCTCTGGTACACTATAGATGCCCAGAAAATATTCACTGAAAGAATGAAAGCCACTTGTTTAACTCTACTATTTGATGCATAGGCCTTCTCTACAATATCCTAGATAATTTTTTGGCCAAACTCTGTTTAATTCCAGTGACCAAAAAAAATCATAATTTCTTAAGATATCACCGCACCCCTTCTTTTGGACCACTCTAATTGCAATGTTTTTTTTATTGCTAGTTATATGTAATTTTTTCTTCTTCACTGACCTGAAGTCTATTACTTTGTAAATTTTAAACTCTGGTATTTTTATACTCTGGGTGATAGAAAAAAAGATGAATTCTTTTCATAAAAAAGATAACTTCATAAGTCTGAGAGAACATTAAAAAGCATTGAATTGATTCTCCCTAGTTTACAGATGAGATTCAGTGAGATCACAGTTTGGCCTAAAAGGACAGTAACAGGGTCATATTGCCAGAATAAGTATACCATTGTTCAAGTTGTCTGGGGTTTCTAGTTCATCTTTAAATGACTGAAGTCAACTGTTTTACCCTCTCAGGTCTTTTGAATATATTTTTCACCTTCTGTTATAAAAGAAGTTCTCTAGTTAAACGTTTGAGGAAATACCTGTTCAAATTTAAATTGGTTTCTTGCCTTGAGCACCTCTCAGAGACTTTAATACAGTAATGTGCCCTGTGACTTCTCAAGGAATGGTTTCAAAATCCTTAAGTAATAGATATTAATATCCCAAAGAATTAGTGTTCCAATAATACACTTTGGAAATTATGCCTCTATTCTAAACACACTCCGTTTTTTTAGGTGTCCTCTTCATGAAGTGATTTGCAAACATTCCATAACTAATCTTGACATGTTTAGAACCACATAGGAAATCTTGTATGTAGACACAGCAGATGTTAATAAATCTCTGGAATAATAAAATAATAAAATAACTGGAAAGGCCTTCAGCCACAAATTTCACATTAAGGAGCCATCTGGGATTCTATCATTTATTTATTCGTTTGGTCAAATAAGGATCTATTTTAATTACTTGAAGCTAGAAAGACCTCCTCTTTTTTCTTAAAATTTATTGAGTTATAATTGAAGTACATTAAATTATACATGTGTAAATTATTCTACTTTATTGGTTTTGACATATGTTTACACTTGTAAAACCATGACCAAAATCAAGGGTACAAATATATCTATTATTCTAAAAAAATTTTGTACCCCTTTATAATGCGTCCTACCCTCTATCCCTCCTAGCAACTAATCTGCTTTCTATCACTAAAGAACGATTTGAATTTTCTCGAATGTTATATAAAAGGAATCATAGAGCTTATGTTTTTTGGGTTTCCTTTTAGGTGGATCTGGCTTTTTTCACTCAGCATAATAGTTTTGTGATTCATCTCAATCGTTGCGTATATATCAACAATTCATGGTTGTGGCTTTGTGTGTGTGTGTGTGTGTGTGTGTGTGTGTGTGTTTTACCACTGATTACTTTTCCAGGTACAGCTAATAATACCACAATTGTTTATCCATTTATCTGTTTATGGAGATCTGAGTTGTTTACAGACCTTAACTATTAAAAATAAAATGGCTGTGAACATTTCTGAACACATATTTTGTGGATATATGTTTGTTTCTCTTGGGTAAATATCTTTGGAGTGGGAAGACTGGGCCATTTTATAGGCATGCTGTTCTTTTTAAGTAGTATTGTTCTGAACTATTAGTCTTTTAGTGTAAACTAGTGTGGTTATCTTACCCCTAAAAAGTAAGTCCTTGCCTGGGGGTACAGGGAAGTGGATGGGAAAAGGAGTACCCTGGGGAAGAAGTGGAGAGAAGAGATGGTTTGGATTAGGCATATCATCAGGGAAAGGCAAGTGTGGTTTGGTTTCCAACTTGTGTATTGGTAAGAGTGGAGGAAAGAGTACTAAGTATTAACCATCCAAAGATTAAATCCCTTATTTCTCATGTGGCCCTCTACATGTAGAAACTTATTTCTACTGAGATTTCTAAATTTTTCAAAGATGCTAACCCTCTGGAATATTAATACAGTCGTGTACTGCATTGCTCTTACTTTGTACCCAGCTTCTCTGCTTCTGCTACAGTCCATGATGGCCCTTCTGTTTCATAGGTGGTTCCTTGGCAAAGCAGAGAAGTGGGGAGATATCTATACTTTTGGAGACAGAACTGTTTCATTAGCTTTTCTATGAGGATTTAAGATGAAATCTCTCAGGACAGTTAGAAGTTACTGTTGCTTATATGATTTTAAGAGTAAATATAGGTAATTTATAGACAGGATTTTTGGTGGTAAAAAGATAACACAAGATGAGAATATTTTGGTTTTAGCTTTTTTGATATAGAATATTGAGCTATTCATTTTAGATATGCTATATGAACTAACACTGGATTTGTAGGGTAGGGGAAGTTGGGGGAAGGTCAAGGGGGAAAAAAGGAGACAAATGTACTACTTGTTGTAATATTTTAAGCAATAAAAAAAGAGAAAAAAGACTAACATGTTTTCACATTTAAAAATGTTATATCATATCAGAAGGACTTATTTCAACATGTTTTCCTACTAGAAGAAATATTTCTGCAAGTGTTCTGAAACCATCAGCACTGTCATTCTTTTTCTTGAATTCCAATATTTTTTGTTTTACACTTGAAGTTGTGTTTTTTAGGAATCTTTAGGTTTTCTTTATTTTTTAAAATTCATTCTAGATAAGCCTAAAAGAAATTATTTGAAATTAAAATGGAAGGAGCTGCTAGTTCCATAAAAGAGGGGAGGAGAGAATAGGAGTTTACCGCCATGATAGGGATAACCAAACCAGTAAGGGTGTTGAATATCAATCCTGTCCCATGTATTAATTACTAACAGTTAATATAGTAGGTACCCGTAGAATATATGAAAATACAAAAACAAACCCTCTATTAAAGGTAGAAAGCACTATTTTGTCTTAAGTTCCTTGAAATTGTGCTAATTTAAAAAAGTGCTCTTTTGAGAGAAGATATACAAGGAGATATCTGATTTGAATTGGGCTTCCCAGAGAGCAGCATAATACTTTGGATGTTAAGGCAATGACTTTTGTACTTTTTTTTCTCAGTATGACTTATGTTAAAATGCATTTATGTACATTTTTATAGTTCCTGGCCTGACAGGCGTCTTTATGGTATTGGTGCTGTTCCTGATGATTACAGCTTCTACATATGCTATCCGGTGAGTGTCCGAGCAACGACCTCAATATTTATGGGTCAGATTATTTCATTTTCTTCAGATTATCTTCATTAGCCAGGATGCTTAGCCGGTGCAGTATTCCGATGAATAGACTATTGTGGGTAACAAAGAGTGATGTAAAGACATTTCTATATACATCATTTCCTGTTTTGGAAAAAAGAATTTCTGTTTTAGTCCAATAGTCTAGGTTGGTAAGGAATTGTGTATGGAGACATTTTAAAACAAAGAAATTTAAGTTCTTCAGGAGCGTTCTTCTGGAGAATCATGTGTCTGTGAGACATGGGATTGAATTAAACATGTATGCACAGGAACATAGCACCTACAGCTTGTTTACAACTCATTTCCTGCTATGAGTTCGTTTTGCTGTAATTTAATGTAACATTCCAAACAAAGCTTAGGAGAAATGGTTAGTTGGCATCTGCTAAAATAATCAGAAATATCTGCATTCACAGTATTCTTCTAGTTACGAGATTTTGAGCAATTGCAGACACACATTTTTATGAACACTTTCACATGTTCTTTCTGGTGGATACATCTGTTTTACACAATATTTTACAGTCTCTTACATTACTGGTGAAACTTCTTGCTTAAGAAAGCAAAAAGAAGAAACAATATATAATCTTCAAAAATAGTCATTCTAATTATTGAGGTGTGAAATATAATGGAAACACACACACACACACACACACACACACACACTTTGAAAGTAATTGTTCCCCACACCATGCTCAGATGAGTCTATCTTTGCATTTCTGAACACATCTATGCTCACAAACGCACACCTTAAAATCTCACAGGCGAACTCACCAATCAGATTAACACTATACACTTCCTGGTGTTATGTCTGTATACTTCATTCTTTCTGCTTTTACTCACTCATGCCCCATGTTATACATCTACCAAAATCACTCTTTTTCTCTGCTTTTCACACTACTGATCTCTGTCTTTACAAGTCTGCATTTTACCAAAATTGAACCATTTTATTATATGGGCTATTTTAAAACTCCTTTTTTCTTAAAACTTGTTATGAACATTTTTTCTCTTTACTATTGGCACAGCATATTACCATGTAGATATACATTACTCTCCCAGCCCCCTATCTTCATATGTTTCAGGTTGATTCCTTTTTTCCAGTATTTCAATTGTGAGACAAACACAGTCTCCATAAGTCTTTGCATACTTTTTAATTATGTCCTATGGAAAAATTCTTAGATAGAGAATGGCTGTCAAATGGTAAGCCCATTTTTATGACTTTTTATAAGAATTAAAAATCACCTTACAGAAAGGCAAATCCTCTAACATTAGTGCAGCAGGGTGCCGATTTTGTGGGAGAGATTTAATTTTAGTTAGGTCAATAATTCAAAAACTTACTTTTTCAGTTTTAGGAGCTCTTAAAGAAAAATTAGGTTATCTAACATATTTACTTATAAGATTAAGGATATGTAAATGTTCTATATCTAGAAAAAGAATCCGTAATTGAGAGAGAGTGTTGTAGTAAGGAATATAAAGATCAGCTTCTGTTCTCAAGTGAGCCTTTACGTAAATAAATTGGTGACTGTTTCTTAATTGTTAATGTTTTCATTTGTTTAGAAGAGATTATAAAAGTAACTCTGCTTTTCTTCAAGCTTCATTTTGAGAATCATGAAATTCTTAAATGGATCACGGAAATAATCTTTTACTTTTTCTCTTTACTACTAAGGAAATAAAACATTAGAGAAATCAGGTGAATAAATATGACTTCACTATTTGATTTCTGGCATTGATTGTAGTCTAGTAATTCACCAATGGTCTAACATGGGTCAATTATTAATATAAGTAATATATTCGTCTAACAGAGGACAATAATACAAAAATATTTTCTCATCTCAATAGACTTAGAAATGGCAATTGTTAAATCTGAACTCTCATCAGAGTTAACTAAAAGTTAATTTCCTTTTTAGAATTAAAAAGTATAAAAGCCAGAACTGAGTTCATACTTACAGTGAAATATGAGATACATTCCTATTAAAATCATGAAACAGACAAAGTGATGTTTTTAATTTCTTTAAAGGATGGCATTATAAGAAATTAAACATTTAGAATTATTAGAAAGAATGCAACAATAAATTATCATTACTTCCAAAAAGGTAGGTATAAGTGCCTGGCCAGAAAATTCAAGAGGATTATGGAAAATTTATTTATATCAACTAAAGGATTTAAAATGGGTAAATGATTACAAAACACATGTTTAAAAATCTCTTTTATAATAGCTACTATCAGTTTGAAAATTGAATAAAATAAAAAGATAGCACTAATAATTTTAACAAAAACATAAAATATCTACCAATAAGTTTATGAAGAAACTAAGTGAAAGTTATAGAGACAAAATATAACCTCACTGAGAGAAATCAGTAGAGATTTGAATAAAGACTATATAATGCAAAGATGGAGTTCTTACTCAATTATTTTGTAAGTTTGTTGCAATGCAAGTCAAAATCCAAGATAGGTTATGCTGTCTGCTTATTCAATTTAGCAAAGTGATCCTAAAGTTCATGTGAGGGAAGATTCAAGCACGTGTTCCCAAAGAGGAATAAAAGGGGTTATGTGGCTCACTAAACATTACAGTGATTAAGCTTCCATAACTGAAAGCAGATAGAACTTGCAAAAGTAACCAAGACATTGAACCAATGACAGAGACAATAGAAAGCCTTGTTAAGACACTTCATTGTGTATAAGAACCTAACTAAACAATAAAGGTGCCGTCACAAACTTATGATGAAAAAAAAGAGTAAGTGAATGAAATTCAAGATAATTTACAGTTAGCTATTAAAAAACCACACCATTAAAAATTTAGAAGAGACTTTATCTCTATTTATCAGATCTCCTAATGGACAAAAAAAATATAGAACATATCTGACTTTCTAAAAATAGGTAAACTAAAACAACATATGTTATAAAAATTGAAATGTAAACATGTTATTTGACAAATTATTACAGTTATGTGGAGCTAGTACAGTCTTAAATTTTGAATAGTGTACTCACAACAATTAAGGAAAATTCACTACAGAAATGGATAATTATTATGAATTGATAAGTGATAAAATTAAAAGTGTGTAACACACAAATGAAATAATACCCAATTCCACTTATCCAAAGTAATGAAAACTTATAATTGGAGCATGGGTTTGAGGAAAAAGACACTCTTAAAGTTGGATTTGTAATTGATAAACATGTTTTCAGAGAGCAATGGACAATGTGTATCAAAAGCATTGCATATGTGTACCCTTTGACCTAGAGATTCCACTCACAGGAGTTTAAATGATAAAAGAATTAGATATGTGCAAAAGGCTAAACTTGAGTTTTCTTTAAACTACTCTCAAAATATTTATTGAGATAGGAACATTAGTTGTTTTAGAAGTTATTTGAAAATGGAGAATATTTATAGAAAGGACAGCAAATAGACATAGGAGTCGAGTATAACTGTTCCTTAGCCTTACATCATATCTGTAAAGTAAGTTATATTTTAATTTTTTCAAGTGTCTTTCTTTCAAATACAAAAATATGATAGTGTTATGTATAATTTTTTGTCCGTTGTCTTTGCATGGTATGTAAATCCTTTGACATAATAGATAAATCTCAGATGATCTCATATTTGAACTTTCAATTGTGACATGTTTGAAACACACACTCTTTTCAGTGAGATGGAATATGAAGTGGCATTGAAACTAAGTTTTTTGTTTTTTCAGAGTTTCTAACTATGACATCTTCTGGTACACTCATAATCTCTTCTTTGTCTTCTACATGCTGCTGATGTTGCATGTTTCAGGGTAAGTTATAAAAAATATTTTTTAAAACCATGTCACACTACAGCAGAAAGGTAGGGGAGGGTGAGGTGGGGAGTAAGAGATCAACCAAAGGACTTGTATGCATGCATATAAGCACAACCAACAGACTCAAGACATTGGGGGGTGGGAGTGGTGAGAGCAAGTGCTGGAGGTAAAGGGGGGCCGGGGGAAAGTCAATAGAAAAAAAAAGGGTGACATATGTACTACTATTTGTAATACCTTAAACAATAAAATACATTAAAATAAAGAATTTTAAAATGGGGTAATGAAAGATAAGTCTGCAGGAATTTTCATTGGGAGTGGTAAATTATTTGGTTACTTGAAATTGAGGGTAGTGTCAAGAATGGAAGAAATAATTTTATTTTTAGCATAGCATGTTTAATGGAATTAGTAGAAAACTATATTAAAATTGAGAAAAAGAGTTACTTTTCCCTTGGTTTATGATTTTTAAAGCCCCTGTAGCTATATCCTGATAACTTCTCTAAGAAAATAAGAAGTAAAGAACTTCCAGAAGATATTTTAGTATTTGTATTTCCAGAAATTCCTTATGTCTCACTGCTGTGGAATTTGTAATGATGGAGTTACCAGTTTTTAGTTTTAAATGGCCTAGAGGCAATAATAGTTGCAATGAGCCAAAGATTTACAATGACCAAAGACAAGGATGTGTCAAAACACTAAAAAATCACACAGGGAAAAAGGAAAGTATCCTAAGCTTGTTACAAAGAATATACCCCAACTGTTCTGAAAAGTATGTGGACACAGGCAGTGTTCTCAAAAGTATGGTGCTAAAAATAATCCATTAGGTCAGAGGAAGAAAGTGGTATATTTTTTGTGGATGTATACATCTGCATGATCACCAGAGTGGACTTTACTTTTGTCTCGACACTCACACCAATATGACACAATAGGCCATTGTCTGGTGACATTCGCTTTGTGTAGCAGAAGGATGCGGGGCAAGCAACACAGAATATCAACAGGATAAAGCCAGGTGCCTCTTCAGTGGGAGTCTCTATTATTGTTTAGAAACCATTTTCTATCTCCCGCCCTTACCCCCAATGTAGTAACTCTGTTTTAAGATGACAAGACCATATGGATAGTCATGGGCTACTTTGCCTTAGATAAGGCTCACATTCCGCAGGAGCCAATATCTTGGTAACAGCCCAGGTCTCCTCAAGGGATGCCTTCAGTTGCTAGAACACACTGCACATACGAAGCTGAGGTTGTGAGTTCTAAAATGATTTTATAATTCACTCACAGACCTTCTGGTCCAGATGCATTCCACCAATAAGAAATAGTGTTGCCTGGTACACATCTGGCAGTCCCCATTTATCTTAATCTCAGGTGATCCCAGGGGAAGTGTTGGAGAATGGTTCAGAATGCTGTTCATTCTCTCTTCAGAATGTTTTATAGTATACTTTGTCAGTACATTAGGTCATATACATGAATTGTATATTATTTTCAGGGCACATGTTCAAATCCTCCCCTCCTCCTCCCTGATTTTGCAGACCACTGGTTTAGAAAGCACTATTACATGGATCTCTACCTCATATGTCCTGGTTGATTTGTTCTGTACCATAGGTCTAGACCAGTGATGGCGAACCTTTTGAGCTCGGTGTGTCAGCATTTTGAAAAACCCTAACTTAACTCTAGTGCCGTGTACCATATAGAAATTTTTTGATATTTGCAACCATAGTAATACACTATGT